CAGACGTGTGCTCTTCCGATCTCCCCAAAACCCCAAAACCCCGAGCATTGTGGATTAGTAGAAATAAAGTAAAGTGAGTGTTTAATTAATCTTTGAATTAAAATGTCTTTGTCCCCATTGTCACCATTATCTCCAGCTCGGATGCCTCATCCCAAAATGAAACTCAAGACTCCAGCTGAAGAAGAAGAAGACTTTGACTCAGGCTAGTACAGGTCTTTGAAGTTCATCAGGTCGCAGGTGTAAAACATAGAGGGATTACGAAAGATGACTAAACTAGTGCTAGTTGGAAATTAAGCCACTAAGGTGCCACCAATTAAAACCCTGAGACTGCACTTCTGCCAGCTGATTCACTTTGACTTATCTAATAACATGATAAAAAACTTGTATGGAATAGACTTATGCAAGAGTCTACCTTTCCTTTAGGTGTTTAAAGTGTGCTCAAACCGTCTCTATCAGCTTTCAGATATTTTAGCCTTCAGAGAGCATAAGCATCTGAAGGAGTTTGACTTCAAGGAGAATCCTCATCTGCCTTTCATAGACAAGAGACTCATAATCTTGCACAGGTTGATTATGGATGAACTGACCTCGGACAGATAAAATTAGAACAGCGTGGGATATCTGCAAGCAACCTATCAATAAATAGTAAAGCCCATCCAGTCTGAGTTGGTGATTTCCCCTTTTGATGTAGAGCATGATAAGAAATATTAATAGGACAGGCAAAAAGACCACTAAATTGCCCAGACTCCCAGACACTATGGCTACTTCAAACAGTTAGCTCATTTAAATGGACAGTAGATCAATCTTTATGAGTTGAAGACTATAGGCTACATGGAGTATGAGGAGTTAATGGAAAGCAAAAATGCATTATTATCTTCAAGCAAGAAAAACAAGAACAAAATGAGAGGAAATGACAAGAAGCCCTTGACTCAGTATGAACTGCATAAGCTGCTCAGAGAAGCAAAAGAAAAGCATGATATTGAACAAGAATAATTAGAAATTTTGAAGCACATCCAGTATCAAATTAAGCCTGAAAAGATTAAGGTAGACGAGATAACTATTAGCCCAAGGAAGCTTAAGAAATACGAAGAACAGCGAGAGGGCAAAATTCGTGAAAACCTTTTGAAGCATATACGAGGCAAGCATTATTTTGAAGAGGAGAAAAGTGACCTCTGTGAAGAGGATAACGTCAAGGATGAGATGAATGTAGATGAGGAAGGAGGGGATAGTTCAGATGATTCAGAAGAAGAAGATGGCAATAAGTACGGTAAAAAATAAAAAGCTGTTTTAAAGACTAAAATTAACGATTTGAATAGCAGTAAGGAGCAGGAACAGCAGAATGAATTGGAATCAATCAGAAAGAGAAAGAGCAATCTGGTCAAGAAAATTAAATTAAAGCTGAATGATTTGATGATGATTCAGCGCTAGAACTCTAAGGAATCGACGACTAAGGATTCAGAAGAAGATGACCACAACGATAACTAGGAGATATTTCAGCTCGCTCATTAAAGAGTGTCATAGTTAGAATTCAAACCAATAGAATTAGAACTTGTTCAGTAACCTTCCATTCGGTTTTAGATCTCGTAGGCAAACATACTATTCGATTTCTACCCCACATTCAATGAGATGAATACTTAGATGCAGCTGAAGAAACTTGAAGAGTTCTTCAATAAGTCTGAGGATGAACTGCTAGATGCACTTAATGATAAGGAGACGTTCTAAAAGATTGAGACAGATATGATTGAGGTGCAAAGAGAACTGTCGCAGTCAATGACATCATTGAGGAAAGGCTTCTCATTTGATGATGTCAGAAGATTCCTTAAGGAATACAACTCAAAGCACAAAAGCAAGGATAAGATGCTAACTCCTGCTGAAGAGCTGGTGGGTGTGGTAAATATGTATCGAGATGGAAGAGCTAAGGAACTGAATCTCCCTAAGATCCAGATTAAGGAACATGACATCGAAAATATCCTTAAAAGTGGAGAGATCCTTCCTACTGAGAGGTTTAATAGACTCACAGGCATCTTAGAGCTTACCGATCAGTACAAGCATTTCAAAGAAATTGAAAAGCAAAAGCATGGAGGGGAACAGGGACTAATGAAGTTTATCAAGAATAAAGAAGCTGAGGAAAAGCATTAGAGGATAGTAAAGACCCACAGAGATAGAATTCAAGCAGTTTAGAGTATAAAGTTAGGACCACAAAGAAAGATGAATGAAGCAGATATTGATCAGAAGCGATATGCATTGAGCATTAAAGGTACAGTTAACTTCACAAACAACTATAATCTGAGTCCAACCAAGAAAACAGTTTAATCTACTAAGAACAACAGGAGTCCCACTAAGCATTTAAATCTCATAAAAGCAGTTAGCACAGCTGATTTGAACTTAGTCAATTTAAGAAACCAAGCACAGAAGGCTTAAGAAGATAAAATGAGGTCATCCTACAGTAATACAATGATTCGAAAGTCTTAAAGAGTAATGAGGAAATCTCACCATGACTTCAGAGGCAATGAGCAAATCATCTAAACTCATCGGCCAGCCATTATGAAAGGCAGTGTCCACGAGATATTTCCAAACATTAATGAGTAACTGAACCAGCCTAAATAAGCTTTTAATCTCGTGAAGAAATTTGAGAAAGACATCAGACTGCTTCCTGACTTCAAGGAATATGACTAAGAAATCGAATAGAACAAGCAAAGTATCAAATAAGCCAATAAATTCTATGCTTATTAGCTGAATGAGGAGTAAAATGAAGGTGAGGATGGATTCCTGCCTGCATAGTATAAGAGGGAGCTCGAACAAAAGAGAATTTAAGAGAAAAAGCATAAAAAGATCATTATTGGGTCAAAGTACAAGATCAATAATCATCCCTTGATCAAGTATGAAGAACTGACTGAGATATAAAGAAGAAACTACCCACAGTACTTCAAAGTAAGTATTGAAGACTAGCCTGAGAAAATCAATGATCAAATCTTGAGTCTGAGGCAGAGAAGGCAGAGCAGTATGGATAATTAGTTTAGCAAGGAATTAGAGATTTAGACTTTAAAGGCTCTTGTAAGATAGATTATTGTCAAAGACTTAAAAGAAAATCCTCAGCAACTTTGATTATTCAAAACTTAAATTACATATTTTCAAGATTTAGACATTATGGGGTTTTGGGGTTTTGGGG